TGTGAAAAGAGTCTGTAACACTAAAATGGCTTACGCTACTCTATGGACCAATGATAAAACAATAGTCTGAAAAACAAATATCACGTGAGAAGAGTCTGTTGGATCTCTCTCTTTAATCCGATAATTTTTTCTCTGTGTTCTGCGGCTTTCCTCCCTCCGCAAAGCCAAAACTAAATTCCGATTCAACCTACGGGTTAGCTATGCCTTAACATTGATCACCCAAGAAGTTGTTTCAGGGTATCGTAAAATCGTAAGGATGAGAAGAGGAAAGCATGAACACAAAGTTCAAAGCAAACATCGTAGGTTTTTCTATAGTATGGTACTCCCTCTGTGACTACGAGCCATACTTACAGCCATTAGTTTTTCTAGAGCTGGAACTTGAATTTTTAAAGGCTGTTGTTGCTGCTGCTGTTGTTCCTGCTGTTGTTGCTGCTGTTGTTGCTGCTGTTGTTCCTGCTGTTGTTCCTGCTGTTGTGGGTCTCTATTCATCGTGGCTTTAAATAAAATATAGTTCAATATCAGTATAAAATGTAAAAAAAAGTTCTTTAAATGAGCACTTGGATGAAAACGCCCCAATTTTTGAAAGTCCAAATAACTGAAGTATTTGAGGATAATATGACTCAATTACGATTATGTAAACCAGATTAGTGAAAATTTTAGCCTGTGAGCCACTTGCTGTTGAGAAATTTTGGTTTAAAAGCAAAAAGAACAATAGGGTTGAGTAAATTACTCACAATTTAGATGCTGAATAAAACTGATAATTTTCATACCCCACTTTTGACTGTCAAGAAATGTTGCTTGGCTACTATTGGGGCTATATAGATAGGTTTACCCAAGTTTAAATTCATTTCCAATTTTCATCGATTTTTATCCAAGTGCCCCTTTAATGAAGATAATAAGAAAATATCAAGATTGCAAGAAATAGAAAATGCGCGCGCGAGCAGTGTTTGAGTTTAATAAGTTTAATAATAAATTCACACACATCTTACAATTGAAGACGTAATATATACACTCAATTGAAGAATCGTTGTCGGGTACAGAAACATAGAACATAGAAGCTGAGACCGAAATGGCACATGGGAAGTACGTTAATTAGATGCATGCTGTGACCGGCGACCCGTGGAATCATCCACTGTTTTTAATACGCGTTTGGCATTCTAAACCGACTCCATGGATGGCGCAAATGAATAAATTATAATATAACTATGTCATTTCCCATGTGCCATTTCGTTCTCAGCTTCTATGTTTTGTTTCTGAACCCGACAACGATTCTTCAATTCAGAGTATATGAACAAGTTACATAATCATAATAGAAGTAAATATAAGAATATAATAATAGTTTGGAAAGTATAATATAAGTGGTTGTTGTTGAAAGAGTACAAACCTTCAAGTCAACAACACCCAATACAACACATCAAGGACGCAGGGAATGGCGACAGTCAAGGTTGCGTAAAACAAAAAAAGATTTCTGCTTTAACGCGAACAGCACTAGATTTTTACATTACGCCCGGAACAGTTTACTTTAGAATCAAAGCAAAAATGAATTCCAGTTGATTTGGAATCTAGTCGCGCAATGCACTGTTTGTCACAGCAAAAATGTCCAAGTATTTTCTATTATCATATGACCCGTATCTGCACGGGCGCGCGATCTTAAAAAAACCTTCGGGAAAATGGCATGAGCAGGGCTGTACGGCTTTGAGCGAGCTCGAAACCTGCGACCGTGTTGACATAATTTGCAACTTTTAAAATATATTTTTTATTTAGGTCGGAATATTGGCATGCATTGCTTGTGACAGCGAAAATTTCCAAGTATTTTCTATTATCTCATGTCAAAATATTTTCTACAACCAACAATGAAAATTACTTTTCTTAATTATACAGCTTCTCATTAATCCCATATAGGTAACTGTCCAATTATTTTCTTAATTGGACAGGTCTTGTTGATATGGGATTAATTAAGCAGTTATATAATTAATAGGTAATGGGATTTCATGCTCCCCAATCAAGAAATAATTAGACTCGAAAAATTCCTCATCCAATTTTGTCAGTCCTCGGAATTTTCCTCGTCCAATTATTTCTTAATTGGACAGCATGGAGTCCTATTACATATACTAATTTTTTTCTCCCGAGTTAAAGCTGTTGTTTATTGAGGCAAAAACCTGGAAATAGGAAATATGGAGCTACGGACAAAGTGTACGCTGATTGGCTAATACGTTCGGGCTGAGAAAAGAGAAATCAGTTGGTTTTTACCTGCATTCTGTTCTGCTGTTTCTCTTAACTGAGCAAGTATTTCCCGTAGACCAATCTCCAATTGTTTGTTCTCATCCTTCAGCTCTTTATTCTCAGCTTCGATTCTCTTCACTTCAGTCTTGATTTTATCGGATTCTTTATCCCTTTTCTCTATATCTTTCTCAAGTCTTTTGTTCTAAAATACAATGCAGTATCCAGAATCAACCAACCACAATTTTTAAAACCACCGATAATAGGCCTTTTGCATCAAATAGTCACGTGCTGATATATGACTTTGATAACGAATCAATTCAGCTCGAGGTCCCTTGAAGCAGTGGCGGATCCAGGGGGGTCGCAGGGGGTGCGCACCCCTCCCTGGTTCGACTTTGTGCCCCTACTTCAAAGATTTAACCAATACATAATTATGCTTTTTCCCTTTGATTCTAAGGGGCGCACCCCTCCCTGGGTTAACTATGTGCGCTGCACCCTCCCTGAACAAATTCCTGGATCCGCCCCTGTGAAGAAGGCTTTGCTGGATGGCAAACAAACTTTAATGTGCTTCGTATCTTGAAATCGAAAGTATCTTATAAGGGGAAAAAGTATCTTTGAAAAGGTTTTGGATACGACATTATTAATCCAGCAAAAAAATCTTTAAATAAAGGAAGCCCAAATTTTTTTGCCATCCAGTAACAACCACGTGACAATCGATTGCAAAAGGCCTATTGAATCAAAGCCGAAGTTTTGCGCTAACAATATGCACTTTTAAGATCGTCTATCAAGTTTATCAATGTAGACTGAAAAATTCAATTCGACTCGCGCGATTTTCGAAATTTTCAAAATGTTGCGAAAAAATGTTCAAAGGTAAATAAATAAATAAAATAAATAATAAATGGGATTTAACAGTGGCATTTCTACAGAGTAGCTATTCATCCACTGTAATTC